ACTGGGCTCGATCTCTCTTGACAGCCAATTGTCGACTGCGCCTCTCTCGAGGACATTTCTAACCTGTCCAACAGCAGCCATGAGTGCCAACAGCACTATTGTGGTTGCCTCACGGCCGCCAGTCCCACCGCAGCATATACCACCGCATTATTTCCCCCACAGCCAAATTGAGGCTTCCCACACTGGCGCCGCAAACACAGGCCAACCGCTGAGAGCCAGAGATCATCATCAAGCCTCAGTGTTCCCGATGAATACAAACCATGAACTTGACACCATGGCTAGCCAATTGAATAATCTCACTCTGGACCCAGCTACATTGGGCACGATGCGAGAAGCACTCTACCGTGCCCCGCTTTCTAAAACCAATGAGATTTTCCCCGCCGTCCGAACAAGTTACGAAGGATGGACTCTATGCCGAGCGCGTCCAGACACCTCAGAGGTGATATCGACCTGGGATGAAGTTACTCGAGAAAGGATGCCTCTCCCTCAAAACGAATTGGCCAAGATGGTATTGAAACGTAAAGGCAAAAGCGTGGCTGATAAGTACGACCGTTTGGGGAGCGGGAAGCGGAAACAAATTGACGCATTGATCCAGGACCGGAAAAAGTGCGATGGGGATAATCGATTTGAATGGAGTTGTGCTCACATTCAAGCCGAGATAAAAGTTGTCAATCGTCGCAACTTCACCACAGAATATGTTACGTCATCTCTCAAGTTAATCCTTATGAGACAAGTACGCCCTGGTATCGTGCTGCCTTCTCATACTGAAGTTGGAACTCTCAGTTCCGCAGCTAAAGCGAAGAATCAGAATGAAGAACAAAGATTTTCACCACCCGAAGCGCGTGGTCAACCACTGCACCATGCTAAATTTGAACAGCCAGATTATCAGCACCCTGGCAGGATGGGTGCTGCTGTCCAGCGCCAGAATGCGACCCCTATCCACACCAACCTGCCAATGGGTACGGGGACTCCCTATGGAGAGCAACACGGTACGCCTCAGCGGGAAGAGCCGCCGCGAATGCAACCTCATCCTCAACATGTGCAACATGCACAATTTGCTCACCTCGCTCCACCAGCTCACCACGCTCCACCAGCTCACCACGCTCCACCAGCTCACCACGCTCCACCAGCTCACCACGCTCCACCACCTCACCACCCTCCACCACCTCACCACGCTCCACCAGCTCACCACGCTCCACCACCTCACCACGCTCCACCAGCTCACCCTGTCCAGCATCCCCAAGTCCACCACCACTCCCAACCAGGTCAACCAAATCAACCCCATCAGCACGGCCAGCACGGCCCACATGGTCAGGAGGGTCAACACGGCCCAAGAGGTCACGCTCAACCTGTCCAGCATACCCAACACGGCCTACATAGCCACCATGGCCAAGGCAGTCAACGGCCATCACCCATTGATGTTCAAATAATAAATAATGGCTCGGAATTTGAACCCAATAAATTACCTCCACCTCCACACCCACCTATTCTCGACCCGAACGATAATCCGCGACAGCGATCATCAGTGCCGCAGCCACAACGTCTTCCGAATTTTGTGCAAGGATATCGAAAACAGCGTCGCACCAAACCAAGCTCACCTAAAATTCTACATGCGAGTAAGACACTTCCACATGAGGCCATGGGACATGGAGACTTTCGAGATGGGGACAGCAGCATTGATGACAATGAGTCTGTGCTTTTTGACGAGTTCGAAGATGCGAGTTCAGTAACTACAGATGATTCGTTATTCGATGAACACGATAAGTATGTGCCTCAAAGCGAAGTCGTTGGAAGACTGCAGCGCACCGCCTCCAGGGGTCACCGCACTGATCCTCTCTACCGGTTGCACCACCGCCCTGAAAACAGGTATTTACGGTACAACGAGCATCACCGTCCTGAACAAGCGCATTATCCGTATGGAGAAGTGGATATTTACCCAGAAAACAGTATGTTTAAACGAAGACATGATCGCCGCCTTCACTCGGCGCCTGTGTCACATCTTGTAGTTTCGCCGCGGGCACACCCAACATCCAATAACCGACGAGACCGTCATGGGGTTCCTCCTTCCCCCCACAGTACACATACACTTCCACCTCCAACGAGATACGCCAATACCCATATCCGGTACGACATCGGCCATGACAAAAACTGGGAGCGTGCTAAGCATGAACGAGAACGGTCGTTAGGCGATTACGTGCGCGATAAGCGTCGACGGGAACAGGAGAGCCATCGTCGACGCTGGGACCAGGGCGTTCAAGTGCACACACACCACGCTCAACCTAAGGTCACTGCAGATCATCACACTACTCCATTGCCACGAGAGGACCGTTTTGATAAATATGCAAGGATGGCGGATCTTAACCAAATGGATGGGAGTGGTCCGCCATATCACCAACATCAGGATAAATTAGTTGACGATGCATTCAACGACCCGGACCCCTTCGGTCGTGAGAGAGCTAACCCCGCTCCCATGGGTTTTGGGCCAATTGACAGTGAACGCATGGCTTCTCGTCATCATCCTCAGATGGAGGAACCACGACAAATCCACTATGCGACGTATCGCCGCTGAAATCGGCCAAAATTGTGGTGCAATTTTTCCTTGCTTTTCACCCTCCTTTGCCTGAACATGTTGAACTTTTCTCCCTTTTTGATTTCTTTTTTGGAGTTCCTATGGTATTTGGTAAGGATATGCTAGGTTTGGAACAGGATGTGCCGGCTCAGTATTTAGGACTATGGATGTGTGCATCGTGTTATATTATTATGGTTGTCCGCTTTCACCCTGGATTGGTTATTGTGCAAAATGACCCATGTTTGCAATGGTTATTTATCTTGGTATACTTCTTTTTTCTGGTTATTGAAATCGGTATTAAAATCGACAGATCCCCTGAATACCGCAGCCTCAACACGAGCTAATGTTTTTATTTTGTTTACTGATTATTTGTGAGTGGAAGTATTTCCTTCTTATGTTATTCCTTTTTGCTGGTTTTATACCTTCTAATTGAATCCTGGATGGCCTTGAAGGCCCTAATTTTCCCAAAATTCTAACATAAAATGGATTCCCATTTT